CAGTCACGTTGCTGTTATACAATTAGAGATGAGATGTCCAAATATCAGGAAATTAAGAGTCCAATCCTGGCGTATTCATCTCAACTTTGATGCGGCCCATGTCTAGTTCCTGAATCAGGTGCACCAGAGCCCGCTTGAAGATGACCATCGGCGGCAGCTTCTGGCCGTCAGCCTGGCATGCGAGCACGACATGAAGCAGGACTTCTCGTGGCCGGTCGTCCGCACAGACACCGTGCTGGTCCCCATTTTCTCCACGGTCCGGTTCACCGGGATGTCGAAGGTATAAGCGGGACCTCGTCCATGTTGGTGATGTGCTGGGGCCGGATGTTTTTGTCTGCCATCTTCTTAGTGCAATAGGAGCGGAACAACTCTAGCTTCTCAGCGTCACCTTTTATTTGGTGAGGGTAGGCGGTGCTACGGGCCGGCTCTTTGTTTTCCTGCGGACGCAGGTGTGGCTGGCTTCACTTAAGTCCTTAATGCATGTATAAAAGGTGCGTCTGTATTAAAAGGTGCACTGCCGGTTCAGGGAAAGATTAAAGGTTTTTAATAGCGCCGTATGGTGTGGAAAACACAGTAATTAAATAAGTGAACCACACCTTTAAAGGACTTTTATGTTATCTTGAACAAAAAGACCTAACATTTTACTCGGTATCTGTAAAATATACTAAGTTATAGCCTTCTTTGACCCGACGAAGACTAACTGCTGTCACTCTAAAAATGAATTGTTAGTAGACGTACGTCTGAAGACTTTGCGGGAGTTTAACTCAAATCCATCCAGAGGTTCATGAGATATTTTATCAACAAACAAGCAAGCATGGCAGTGAACTCAAAGGTTTGTCTGGCACTGTGTGGTGCTCTGAGTAAGGGGGATGAAAACAAACATGAGCTCTATATCTGTACACATTTCTACATTTTCTAGGATCAATCGGCTGAATTGGCCATCTTGAATCTGACTGACCGCAAACTCGTATCCATAGAAGAAGGACCTTTCAGCTAACCTCCCAAATTTAGCTCAATGTCTGCATAATTGACTGACTCAGAGCCAGTCTTACATTGGCTGAGGTGAATTTCTGTAGCTGTGGCAGCTTCTAGAATCAGACGGTGAGTCTGTTAAGAAGACTTTCTGATTAAAATTCATCCGGGGATCGAAACTTATTTTACCTTCAAAACCGGTTCCATTCAACCAGCAGAGCTTAATTCCAAAGAGAGCAGCTGTTCATGAGGTTTTAAAGCTGCACTGATGAAAATGTCCTTACTGACAAGGTTTAAAAACGCCCATATGAGTGGTGCTGACTGTGGAGATGAGCCCATGGGGAGTTAGTTCATTCTAAGCTTTACTGTTCAGTTTTTTTTTTATCTAGTTTCATGTCATAATAAGCACCTGGTTACAAAAACAACACAGCATGAAGCCACTGTTTGCTAGCTGAAGCTGTACAAACTGACAGCTAAACACCTAGCAGCTAACGACTGCTGAAGCTAAAGACAGAAGCAGTTGGAGTAGTTTTGGTATCAGGCTGTTAATGGAGCCTCTAGATTGTTAAACTTGCTTTAAGAAGCTACATTTATTTTTGCAGGTTTATAAAGTCATCTAAACATGACTTATGGATCGATTCTCCGTGTTAGCACCTTAATATGGAATCAGCTATTCAACATTAGGTGATCAGTACAGTTTTAAACCAAGTTAATTCTGCTTTTTTGCTCTTTGTCTTCTGATTAATCAGTCTGTTGTTTCTCGTCATTCTTGTATTTATTGATTTTGGACAATTTCGGTAAAATCTCATCCTTTTTTTTTATTTTTTGCATTTTTCTTCACCCTAAAAATACATAAATGAAATGAAATAATCTGCTTGAGAACGAATGTAGTTGTCTGATTTCAAAACAATTTAGTTCACACAATAAACTAGTTTTCACTGTAAAAAACAAGGTTTTATCCACAGAGAGAAGACATCAGCACAAATAGAAACAAAGGTTATCCGATAAAGTTAAAATTCAGCTAAATGATGCACTTATTTACTTATGCATGCTTGTCTATCCCAGCATGCAGCAGAGTTATATTCAGTCAGATAATTTTCACCAGGGATTCCCAAAGTGTCGTGCCGCTAGGGGGTGCGCGAGGTGAAAAGTGCAATGGCTGCGGAGCTCAGAGAAGTCTGTTAAAAGTCACCATTAGCGTAGCCAGAAACTCATTTGTGGGTGGGCCTAAGAAAATGTAAGTGGTCACAATAAACGTAATTGAAAACAAGTAGATTTTGCTTGTGTGTGTGTGTGTGTGTGTGTGTGTGTGTGTGTGTGTGTGTGTGTGTGTGTGTGTGTGTGTGTGTGTGTGTGTGTGTGTGTGTCCTCCGCACATGCCCCAGCTCAGGGGTCGGCAATCCGCGGCTCTGAAGCCGCATGCGGCTCTTCCATCCATCTGATGCGGCTCTCTGTGCTTGTACAATAATGAATGGATATTTAAATAAAATGCTTTATATTTTACTGAATTAATTTTACATCTGTATGCCAATTCTAAATGTAAAGATTGTCTGCGTAAACCTGAACAGGTCCAATCCGGTCTTACTGTGAGACCGGGTTGACGGGTCACGCTTGTGCGTAATCATATGCGCATTCTGAGCTGAAGACGATGTGAGATTCTGGGACTCTCCTCAGACGCCACATTGGAGACAGGAACAAGCACTATTCAGCCAAAGTTTCATCATCAGGGAACAAAAGTGACAAGTCTCTCTGAGAGACCGGGTTTGGAAAACTCTCGCTTCAGTGGAAGGAATCTTCCCGCATGCGCTCTGGTTCTGCAACGCACTCCAATCCCCTCTCCACATCTTCAGCTCACTGTGCACCTTATGTACGCGCTGACTGAGCGGTGTCCAGCTCAGATGTTCAGACGGAAATCTTTTCTTGAGTGATTTAGCTACATCTGCGATGTGAGAAACGAATAAAGTGTCAGTTCGTCTGCATGCGTCGGGGTAATTCTTTCTATTCTTTCTCCGTCAAAATAAACGGCCAAATACGGGAACTGTCCGGTCAACACAAGCCCTGCTTTTAACTGTTCTGTTTTCTTGTGAAAATTGTTACAAATTAAACTTGATTACCACCAGAGCCAGGAGCACTGCGCCGTTATCTCCGTCGCTGTAAATGAGGGAAAAACAAATTGATCGGATGCTTCTCTGACCTTCCCCACCTACAAAGTTTAATTACAACAATCAAACGTGACAGAGCCTGGATTTTTATTCTGAACAGTCTAAACATGTTTTAAAAAGAAACGTATGACAAAAGTGGCACCTGCTCAGTAAAACCACCAACAGGGTGAAAAATATCAAAATATTGTCGGCAGAGACGGGCTACAACTTCTGGATCCATTTTATATAAATCGTTTTATTGATTATCTTCTTATGAAAGATAACTTTGACGTACACAAGCGACCGGTACTGGCTGCTGTCACCTGTTGTGAGCAGCGCTCTGCTGTCTGAGGGTAGGCCCCGCCTACAACGCCGCGGCTGCTGCGGTGTTTTCTTTACTATGGGAAATGGGTAATAATGGCTCTTTGATGGGAACAGGTTGCCGACCCCTGGTTTAACGTGACATCTGATATATATATATATATATATACACACACACACATATATATAGCCATGCCCTGATGTGGGGCTGGGGGGTGCGTCAACATGGTCGGGACATAGAAGGGGGTGCGCGGCCAAATAAGTTTGGGAACCACTGATTTTCACTAAATCAGTCATTACATATTTCACAAGGTTTTTGTCCATAATATAATTTAGCCACAGTTTATCATTATGTACTATTTGAAGGATATTTATGATTTTAACAATGAAACTTTTTCTAAAATACTTAAAGAATGTTAAAAAATTAAAAGACCAAACCCAGAAATAAAACATTTCTGGTGCAGAGCGAGTGGGAGATTGTTTGGTTTGGGAGATATTGACCTTAGCAGCTCAGTACTGCTAACTGGGTGCTCTACACTGAAACCTGCTCAGGCAAGACAGTGTTGTACGTTATTCTGAAACCATCACATTTTGTGAATCAAGGGAGGAGCCTGAAGAAAGGGGTCGGATTATTGAAATTTTTTTCCCCTAAATATAGCGGCTTGAACGGCTTTTACTGCACCTTTAAATAAAACCCCACTGTTTAATTTCCAGTACATCAAATTTAGAGTAAAATGTGTTTTTATTATCATCATTGTGTCCTGTTTGACTCACTGATGTTCAGGGTGCTGAAGCCTCTCTTCTCATGCACTCTTGACATTTTATTCTTCCTGAACTTCGTGTTGAAGCTTCCAGCTGATTCCGCATAGAGCTAGCTGGCTTCAGCCTGGCTGAGATTATTCATTTGTGGCTAAGCTTCACCTTAAATGCATGCAAGTTCTTTTTTCATGACAGAATGTCTCATTCTGCACATTCAGCCTGCCATACACCTGGATGTCTTTGGCGTTAATGTGGAAGACGTAGCTAATGCTAGCTGACGTCCAACAACATTTACCAAGCGTTGTTCTCCCTAACCAAAGGCATTGTTTGAGTATCATTCTGCTAATAAACTTTGTGCTTTGTGCTATATTTGCATTTAGTGTGCTTCCTTGCCTCAACATACCTGACTGAGAAGCTACAAGAACTGTCCTGGTGTGAGAAATGTCATACATGTGTGGTGAGTGAGCATCTCTCTCTAAAGACATGAAAAACTCACTGACGTCACTTTTTAAAGCACTTATCCCCTCAGCTCTCCAAATGCCAAATAACTCTCCATGTGGAAATGGTTTCGTCCAGCAGTTTTTTCTCAGACATTAAACCTTCTTGCAAAGCTGAGACATTTACTGAATTCTGTCTCATCCAAATAGCCTTTTGTTCAGATCCAGACTGAGCTTGGAATTTTCCATTTCTTTCTGATGGATAGAGCACCCAGGAGAGCTGACCAGTCCACCATTGAGAGGAATACAACTTGTTCAGCGAGCTACGTGTTTTCGCCCGTGACGTTCTTTTGGTACACATTTGACTGACCTTCTGGCTGTCCGTGTCAGCAAAGGTCAGGCCGAAGTAGTCCTTCTCCAGCAAGTTGAGGTGTTCACACACCATGTCCATCAGAGTCTGTCCTTTAGAGTGCTTCTGGGGAGAAAAACAAACAAACATCACAAGAAAGTGGCGGAAAAGGTCAAGTTAAAGTAGAAAAGGGATCTTCGCTTTGGATCTTATTGTTCTGTTGATTCTGGTAGATTTAGTTTTGGTTATTTAGTAAACAAAGTTCTGTAAGTTTCCTGGGTTTAATTTCTAGTTGCACCACCTGTATGTTTACATGTGCTCCGCACGGTCGTAGGAGACCACCTATGTCCAAGGAAAATATTTATTCACAGTAAAAACAAAAGTAAACACAATTTGTCATGACTACCATGTCCTTTTTACAGAAACTGGTTTTCATCTGTTCATCTGCTGGTTTCTCAGACCACTGTGTCCATATCATGAGTCATGCTCATAATGTTTTGGCTGAGTTTGTGCCACCTCCATCTTTCACCAAGCACAACAACATTTAAAGCTAAATGCTAAAATAAGCACCTCAGAGTGGCATTAATGACAGGCTTCGGACTAATTAGCAATAGCATGCTAACACTGTAACTAGCTAACCCAGTAGGGTTTCCATGGGCTGATAACTGCTAATTAGTACCAATACGTAAAGAATAATCCAGCTTTGCTGCAACAGAAGCTAGTTTAGATTTTTTAACTCATCAGCAGGCCTGAGGTGACCTGCCTGCGTGTGCAGTGCATTTAACAGTCAGTCTTCATTATCTGCTTGTGCTTGCACTCATTTGTCACAGTTAAATATAGAACAAGTAAGACTGTGTTAATGTTTACACCTAACATTCAACCACACTTACTTTTAAACTCTCGCACATAACTATTTATCCTGCGGCTGCTTTGTGCAAAGACAAAGAGAGGTAGCAAGCGGTTGCCAGGGAAACAGATGCAGTATTATTCCTCTGCTGCCTTCTTTCTTATATCTCAGGGGCATGTGAAGAAAAAGTGCTATAACCTTCTCTTACTGTGAGCGGATGTCAGAGCAACGCTCTCGTGGGATCAGCCAGAGGGATTGCAGATGCAACGTTGTTCTGATATTATTTCACAACAGATGCAACAGGGAAAGTTAAGGCAATAAATCATCATCTGGACGCCTAATGAGCCACGGCTGAGGTGATTCAAACTATTTGCTCTCTAAGATTCAAATGTGGAAAAAAAACCTCAGAGTTCAGATAACCCCAAACAGGATCTAAGCAGCATGCAACACTCAGTGCTACTCAAAATAAAATTATCCATTAAGTGAATGCTTCCATCACCTTTTGTGCCGGCGTTTTAAACAAAGGTCTTTTTAAGGTTAAAAAACGATGTGAGAACAATGGTCTGTGCCAAATATTTAAATATAATGCGCAATGTCATACCAAAACGTTGGGTGTTTCTCAATGTCGAGGCGCCTTGCCTTGCCTGGCCTTGCGAGGCGATGTCTTGCAAGGCCAGGTGCCTTGCTTGCGAGGACACTGTCCTTCCTTGGTCAAAGAAAACACTTAAATGGAACAGACTTGCACCAGGTTTCTGCTTACTTTAAAAATGCTCTAATCCACCCGCTTCTTAAAAAAACGAGTCTTGACCCCTCTCTCCACAGCAGCTTCAGACCCATCTCTAAACTTCCGTTCATCTCCAAGATCTTGGGAAAGGTTGTGGCTAAACAACTCACAGCTGCTCTTGATGAACATAACATCTATGATAGCTTCCAGTCAGGTTTTCGTAGAGCTCATTCTACTGAAACGGCTCTTCTTAGGGTCTCTAATGACCTTCTGACTCACAGTGATGCAGGGGACTGTTCTGTTCTGGTCCTGCTGGACCTGACTGCAGCCTTTGACACTGTTGACCATCACCTGCTACTGGAGAGGTTGGGAGACTGGCCTATTAGGATCTGCTCTGGAGCAGTTCTCCTCTTATCTGTCTGAGTATTCCTTCTCTGTGGCAATCCATGTTTCGGTCCTCCACCATCTCCGTCGCCCATGGTGTCCCACAAGGTTCTGTGCTGGGACCTCTATTTTTCCTCCTCTAACTGCTTCCTCTTCAGCACATCCCCTTTGGACTGCATGGTGGCGCAGTTGTTAGCACTGTTGCCTCGCAGCACGAAGGTTGAAGGTTTGAAACTCGGTTGCGGCCTTTCTACATGGAGTTGCTTGTTCTCCCCATGCATGCGTGGGTTTCCTCCGGGTACTCCGGTTTCCCCCACAGATCACAACATGCCCTATAGGTTATAAATTGTAAGCCTATTTGGATAAAAGCATCTGCCAAATAAATAAACATAAACATCCTGAGCTTCTTAAAAAGGAATCTCCTACCATATTTATGCAGATGACATCCAACTGTACATCTCCTTTATGCCCCATGAGATGTCTAAGCTGCAGCTGTTACACACCTGCTTAGACTCTATCAAAACCTGGATGGCTGGGAGCTTTCTTCAGCTGAATTAAGATAAGACTAAGATCCTCATCTGTGCCCCAGACAAGCTGGTTCCCAAAGTCAGAGACTCTCTTGGTCAGCTTGCTACTCACACCAAATCTTCCGTCAGGAACCTTGGCGTGACCTTGGACCCAGCTCTCACCCTGGATTCTCATGTCAGTTCTCTTGTTCGCTCTTCCTTCTTCCATCTCAGGAACATTGATAAGCTGAGTCCCATTCTGTCCCGCTCTGAACTTGAGACAGTTATCCACACCTTCATCTCCTCACGCTTAGACTACTGTAACTCTCTTTTCACGTGTCTGAGCAGAACCTCCCTGAACCGTCTACAGGTGGTTCAGAATGCCTGTGCTCGGCTTCTGACCACGTCCTCCAAACACACCCACATCACCCCGCTTCTCCAGCTTCACTGGCTGCCAGTCACCCCGGCTTTCCATGGGAGCCGTCAGCAGCACGTCATAGCTGCTGATAGGAACCGCTGTGGTCAACAGAACCTTTTCCACTGGAGCCGTCGGCAGCCGTCAGCAGCGCGAGTCCGCCGCGAGTCAGGAGCAGCATGTCGCGGCCTTTACGCGCCGGTTCTATTTTCTACGCGTGACGCCTCTGAAACGGGTCAAGTTTGACATTTTTGGGGAAGGAAAGACAGGAAATCGGACGCGGAAATGGAGAGAAGCTCCCGAGATTTTCAGAATAAAGAACGTGCTGCCTTCCGGTTACTTTACTTTTAAAAAATGTTACTAACTGTGCGGCCCCGTGAGAAGTTATCACCGAGCTAGCGGTCTCCTTTGTTTTTCAGGTCCGTATTGGCGATTATAAAACGGACAGAACATAAAACACAAACCATGTTGTAATTTTCTCCTGCTTGTTGTTGTGTTTACTGACGAAGTCACTCGTGTGACTTCGTGCTCTGTCGGTGACAGCTGCTTCGTGTCTTGTGGGAAGGGCCAAGCAGCAGCTTACGCGAGCAAGACGTGCTGCTGACGGCTCCCGTGGAAACCCGGGGTCAAGGATAATATTAAGATCCTGGTTCTGGTCTATAGGGCCTTACATGGACAAGCACCATCTTACATTGGTGATCTTCTTAGTCCCTACACCACCAGCAGGTCCCTGAGGTCCAGTGATCAAAGCCTACTGGTTGTGCAGCACCAGGCTAAAGGTCAAAGGTAACAGATCATTTGCTGCTGTGGCCCCCAGACTCTGGACCTCTCTCCCCCTGAGCCTGAGATCAGTGGACTCAGTGGTCTCCTTTAAAAAGCAGCTGAAAACTCACCTGTTCAGGCTTTGTGTGACCTTCTTCACCACTCTCTCTTTATTCTGTTCTTTTCCCACCTTTCCCAGGATCCATTAATTTCCCTCTTTCCTATTTATTTTATCTCTCCCTTTCCTTATGTTTTTCAACCACAATTTTTTTTCTGGTTTTAACCACATTTTTTAAAATATATATTTTTTAAATCCATTTTATATTTAAATGTTTTTGTTCTCATCTTTGTTTTTCTTAGGAGGTGCTATATAAAATATAATTCACGGTTTCACAAACACCTTCATGTCACAAAGACTACCCCCTTACCTCCAGTTAAAGTAAACATTTTAAACATCTCACTGCATGTGTGTATGCGCTGTGATGCTCCAACACAACAATATTTCAACCTATTATTTTAAAACGGACTAAATTACAGCCATTGTTCATTTTTATTAATTTTGTTATGGATTCAATTGGGTTGACCTCAAAGGTTACATGAAATAAAGAGTTTCTAGGAGTTTGTCATATGGTTCAGGAGTTATTTTGAGGTGACACACACACACACACACACACACACACACACACACACACACACACACACACTTTGCTTGTCAGTAGAAGCTTCAAACTGAAAGACTCCAAACAGAACTCCAACACACACTTGTATCTAAAGGACACATAGGCCCAGATTGGCTTCGCGACATGTGGGATGTGGGTGCAGAGCCTACTCTCCAGACCAACAATGCAAATGTGACAAAAGACTCAATTAACTCCTGAGTGTGGTCCCCCCACCACTCCATACACACACACACACACACACACACACACACACACACACACACACACACACACACACACACACACGCACACACACACACACACAAAGGAGAACACAAGTATTTCCAGCCTTCCCACAGCAGCACAGCCATTCCCCGGCCCTGGAGCCACCACGCGGGTTCTGCCCCTGCTTCTGCAGACAGGCAGTGGAGCAAACTTGCTCTGAGCTCTGGGGCTGTCACTAACGCAGAAATTTCATAAGACTCTGAACTGCTAAAAAGAAGCTGCCTTATACATCTTTGACAGCTAGTGCTGCAAGGGTGGGGGTGATAACTCGTACACAAAAACCTTCATAACCTTGATGGAATGTAGTTATTGACGTGGAGCGGAAAAGGCCCAAATGCATTTCAGAGTTTTTTTCACTCGGCAGAAAGAGATGTTGGTGCACGCATAGCATTCCTGATAGTCTTACCTCACAGCCCCCCACCCCCACCCCCAACAAACACACACTCAAAGTTACACACACTTGTGCTAAAGTATCCCCGGGAGTGTGCTCATACCATAATACCGCTGCTCTTCTATTTTCTCCATGGCTGCACCTGGCTTGCAATCATGCAACAACTATGGATTTCTGAGCACCCAGTTAGCGGTCTGCACACGAGGTTTCATCAGAGAAAAGAGAGACCAATCAGGAGCTGAGTGTTGAACATTTTCTGTTAATATATTTTAAGACCATAAACACCCTCATTCTGGAATTGATTTGTGGTTTCAGGGGTCCTCTTTATCATGACATAATAAAAATGATCTGGTGCTCATTTATAAAACGTTGTGTTGAATCCTTCCCAAAAGTTTCCTTAAGTTTAATAAGTTTAAGCTCTAGCTGTCAGATTGATGGACTCACATCTGAATCTGGAAAATGTCGGCATCCGGAGGAGTTCATGATGGACTCAGTGTGCTCTAACCATCAGCTCACCATCACCGTGTAAACATCTGGTATGAGCTGTGCATTATGGGTAAACATCTCCTTTTGGATTTTATTATTACAAAAGATATCACCTTAATGCAAACCAGTGAAACTCAGTCTGTTTTTAACGGTTCTGTCATGAACTTTAAAGATCAAATCTTTACTCATGTGTGTTTATTACATTTGCAGCAGTCTCTAGTAGGACATAACGCCTTCCACGTCGTTCTCTGTGGATAAAAAGCTTAGATGCTCCTGCAGATGGGGATCCGGAGAAGTCAGAGAAGAAAGTAGACGACAGCATTTAGAGTCTTATTGTTGATGTTTTATCCCCACAAATAACACAAGCCTGAAGAAGCTCTGCCCTGTGGTGGAGTCGCTAATGCTAACGGTTAGCTTCTACTTCTGCAGTTGCCTGGAGGCTAAACCAACAACGGCCTTTCTGTTGGGAGTCAAGAAGGACGAGTCCATGAATGCTAAATGCTGAAAGTGTGACATAGATCTGTCGGGCTTTCCTAATTTGAACCTTTTCCATTGATTTACTTTCAGAAGCTAACGCAGGAGACAGAAGACTACTTTAGTGTTCAGTCTGCATATTTAACTCACAAAAGCAGATCGCTTTAAAAATGAATACATAAAAATAGTTTCTCAGTGAACCTGCTCTTTAACCGGTAACCTGCTAGTTTGAGGCCTGTCGAATCTGAGATGGAGCTCGTAGATTTTACCGCGTCTGGCCTCGGTGTGACCTTCCTGAGATGTCATCAGTTAAATACTTTCCATATGTTAATATTCCTCTTTCTGTGGATTGATGTACTTCAAACAATTGACCTTTAACCCCTCACAGATTGATGGGCGGGTCGTTGCAGACGTCTTTACTCCTTGTGTTAACACACACACGTGTGCTCCAGAGCAGCAAACTACCCAAACCTCTACGTTTCTGGAGGAGCTCTTGATGATGATCAGCTAATCGATACGTCAGATCAGGACGTTAGGCCACGCGGGAGTGGACTTACACACCTAGTTCGTCTTTGCTCCTGTTTAATCAATAACAACATCTGCTGTGTGTTTGTCTACAATTAAGGTTAGACCTGAACGATTTTAGAAATGGTCATTTGTATGAAGTCCTCACACTGAAATTATTAACATTCGTTTCAATTATGTTTATTAGAGCCCACAGCTGCTTTTAAAAAAAGCCTCTGTTGTGTTTTGCTTCCGTTCTCCTCGGCCGCATCGCTCCGATATCGCGCTGAAATAAAAGCCGAGTGCTTCTCTGTGTTGTAGGTTGCTCAGCCTGGAGAGCGGGCGTCTCATTCACAGACTGATCCTGTTCTGAATTTGCATGTTTTTACACTGATTTTGTGTGGAATGAAAAATCACCTCACGGTCACCTACGGAGTCGGGTAATTGGATTTAAATTCTTTCCGACACGATCCTGCAAAGTTATTTCAGGAAAAAAGAGATAAACCTGTTCAGCCTGAGCTGTGTGTCGCTGCAAGCCTCGCAGCTTTATCTTCTATCCTCTCTCTAAGAGTCTGCCTTCGGTTTCTTTTCTAGAAAGTGTGAATTCACCTGTTACACAGAGTCAAGTAGAGACAGAAGATGCTGTGAGAGGAAGACATGAACTCTATTAGTAAACGCATTACGGACATGTGAGGCTTTTTCTTGGCTTGGCTCGCAGCATTCTTACAATCTCTTCTTTTCTCTGATGTGGGTGAACAAAGAAACGCATCAACAAAGAAACCCGGTTCACTTAAAACATGCAAATCCTAATTAAAACTGTGCAAATGCTAATTGTTTTGCTGTACCTCACATTCTCCCTCGTAGTCGGAGGAATCCAGCAGTGTCACTCTGAAGGGGGCCGTTTTCAGCCGCTTGGAGCCTTTCTGAGGAGACTTCATGTTCTTGTTGGGGGACGTCTTCTCAGTCATGTCCTCTGCTTCTCTGTGGTCATCCACTTGTTTGGAATTGTGTTCCTTTATGAACAAAACACAACTGTTGAAACTCTTGGAAAAACACGATTATCGAGCAGATGCCTGGAACTGATAAAACCGTAACCATCACAGCAGAAATGTGGAGTTTTGGTCATGGGGCGCCATCTAGAGGCAGGAAAAATGTAACCTTCTGCCCCTCTCCCTACTAGTCTGGCAAGCCAGACTAAATAAATGTATCATTTAGTCTGGCAACGCTCCACTGACGGCTCTCGGTCGTGGGTCGGGTCTACCGTTGTCTTTCAAACAATCTCCGCGTGATCCTGGACAATGATCTACATGACGTAATCACTATTCAATTCAATTCAAGTTTATTTATATAGCGCCAAATCATGACAAGAGTCGTCTCAAGGCACTTCACATAATAAACATTCCAATACAGGTCAGTTCATTAAGCCAATCAGAAAAAAGTTTCCTATATAAGGAACCCAGCAGGCGAGTCTTTGTTTTGGTAGCTTTGGCGTTGACATCATCATAGTGCGCAACGTTCTGTGACTCTTCAAAAAAAAACTGTGAAAACGCTGAAAAATGCTGGCAGCGGAGGGCTTAACTGATCAGGAAACGGCTGTCAGTGAACGAGTTAAAGGTGTGGTTCACTCATTCAAGCAATACATTTGTAGTGGTCTCTAGTAGGAATGACTGCCTTATAATTCGTACTCTAGAGGGAGAACAGCTCTGATGGAAGGTTTGGAGTCTTATTTCCTGATATTTGGACATCTCACCTCTGATTGGCTAGCAGCAGCGTGACTCTACCACTGACTCTGTTTGCTCTGCAACATTGATGTTTTATCCACGCAAATAAAACAAGCCTGGAGGAGTTCTGCTGTGTGGTGGAGTTGCTAACGCTAACAGTTAGCTTCTACTAGTCGGGACATTCTGTGCTGTTTCCTGGACCCTAAAACAACAACAGTGTTCCCATCATGGGTGAATCCATGAATGGGAAGTGACAGTGTGACATAGATCTGCCAGGCTTTTCTAATCCTAGAGTAGCAGATAGGTGTAGGAGACTGTTGTCATGAATGAAAAACTCAGAGTGACCAATTATAATCAGAAATAATAATTAAGACATGATTTTTCAGTGTTCCACGCCTTTAAACATGGTTGAACATTAAAGAGGCACCAGCACAATCTGGAAAGTAAAATGAGTTTGTGTGATTTAATAGAAAATGAAATTCAGGTGAGATGAACCTTGGAGGCAGTCCTGCCGGCTGATGCGTAAAGTAAATCAGAAAATACATTTTGTTTTTTCAAACTCACTGAACCTCACAAGACTCAATAACCTCCTGTTCTTTATTTGTTGGTTTCCTTTTATTTTGCACCACCTTGATTTTTCCATAAAAAAGCTACAAATGTAAAGCACTTCTTTAAAAATAAAAGATAAGGGAAAAAAATCATCCTGATCTACATAAAGTATCCGGTACCTGAAAATCGGATGTTGAGAAATGACTGAATTAGTTGTTTTGTAAAAATGATGAAAATAAAGTTATACGCAAGTCATCATTTAGACGGGTAACACAGAGCACCACAGGTGCAAGGAGCCCCTTTATTCCTCCCAGCGTCTGCTCCTTCTTAGCTTCGGATTCGATAAGCAAAAAGCACTAATTACATGCTGTAGTAACCACTGCTGGGTTGCAGCAGAATGGAGTCATTAGCAGTCCCTTAGTGACTGCACAAACCGAAAATGGACACAGCAGGGACAGAAGTGACCGAAAGAAAAGACAAAGATGCCTCAGAGGGATCTCCAGGTTTAATACTGTTCACGCACAAATATCAAATAATCTACTCGGAACACACTGTTGTACAGTGTTGGGACAAAACATCATTAAAATATATGTTTTAATTTAATTTTGTGCTATTTTTACTTTATTTGGTTAAAAAAAGAACAAATTGGTCTAAAAACCTTTTTTTAAATATTTTTTAAGCTGTTACATGTCAACACAACAACACCCCTTGAGTTTAGCAGCCTTTCTGTGGCTGTATCAGTCTGGTGTCTGGAACAAGGCTTGTGTTTACAGCACCGTGCAAACGTTTAGTTATGAGGCAGGCACGGAAAAATGCTGAGTACTAGGAATGCTTTCAGAAATATAAATAATTATTTTATATGTGAATCAATGACATTCAGAACTATCTTCAGCATAAAAAACAAGGTGTCCTGTGGTGGTTTGGCCCCCACAGAGCCCTGATCCATCATCGCGGAGCATGTCTGGGATTCCATGAAGAAACGAAGGATGTGAGGAAGCCTACATCCACAGAAGATCTGTGGGTGGTTCTCTGAGATGTTTGGAACAACCTACCAGCCCAGTTCCTTTCACAGCTCTGGTCAAGTGTAGCTAGAAGATCTGGGGCTGTTTTGGAGGCAAAGGGTGGTCCCACCAGATATTGATTTGAGTTAAGATGTATTTTGTTTATTCACTGGTTTGTGGTAATTGATGAAAATAAATAATTATCACTTTCTGAAAACTGTCTTTGCAGCATTTACTCATGCCACCATAAAACATCTGAACAGTACTGCATGAAGTACCTTTTAATGTTACGACCGACCAAGGTGCTTTACAACAAATCGACTACAACACTGGTGGCGATGAGCTGTAGCGACTCCCGCCCTGGAGCGCACTGACCAGCCAACGCTTTCTCACACCCAAAGCGTTGAAAAATGACGCTGGGTGACCAAGCGTTTGTTTCCGACGCGTTGGGAGCCCAAGAGCGTCGGAAACAAATGCTCGGTCACCCAGCGCCATTTTTCATCGCTTTGGGTGTGAGAATGTGTTGGACCAGCAGGCAAGGAGGGCAAAGTGTCTTGCCCAGCGACACGCCAACTGAGACACACACTGGGATGCAAACCTACAGCTTTCTTATGGAGGAACAAACTTCTCTGCCACCGACACGTAAGATATTTAGCAAACAGAAAACATCATACCTCTAAAAGTAGAAGGGATGGAAAATAAATGAGTGCAACAACAGAGTTCATGTCCCATTAAACATTTGAAATCTTTCAACGGGGTGAAGAGGAGCATTAATACAGCAAGACAGGACATTCTCTATCAGCTCCAAGGGAAAACCTGCATCAACCTAAATATGACCAAATGCAGTCACCAAGTATCAAGATATGTGGTGATAAGGACTTTTGCACAGATCCACAGGAAACTTTACAAGATTGAATGTCACGGTGATCAGAGATATGTTAAACATAAACAAATCAATACTTTGCTCAATACGTGAAAAGGTCAATGAATACTAACCAATGTAAAGGTCTATCACCAACCTGACTCACTCTTCTTCTGACAAGTCATGTTTCTATTTTTGGAACTTCAGGGAAAATTGTGGGAGGGGGAAACTGAGCGGGAGATAGGACGTCCCTGTCCTCTAGGGGCTGCATGACTTAACTTTTTTAAAGTCGACCATCGCTGGAGTTTTTGACAATTAAAATTGGGCCCACATTTTCTAAGTTAAACACATTTCTTTCAACAACGGTAGTTTCTGCTTCAGCCCTCTCCCCCCCTCCCCCTGCGCAGCGGCCGCAAACTCACTGATGCGCCTGCAGCCTCTCAGAGTTCCTGCTGCTCTAAACATTAGAATAATTATTTCGCGCTGGCCGCATCAGTGAGGTGTGTCACCGGAGAACAAAACAGGTGATGCGCCCCGCTCCACAGCAGCGAAATGCATCAGGCACAAATAAAAGACAGAAAACATAAAAGGAAATGAGCCGACATGAACGATCGCATGTTAAATTATTTTCTGAGGTGGCAACACTTGATTTGATAATGTTACTGTGGCCGTGCTCAGGACGCAGATGTCTGGAGCGCGTTATCGATCAGAGCTTTGCATGTGCAAGCTGGTTAAGGTTAGGATGGAAGTGAGGGGAAGGTGAAAATGCAAGAGGGTAAAGGTCACAATTTGGTCAGATGTCCGTTTTACGACGGGCGTCAGATACCGATGGTCTGGCACTGCGCGTCGGTATCTGACGCGCTGTGACAGAGCATCGGTATCTGACACGCAGGGGCTCGTCACCTGCTGACTTTTCCGAGGACTGCATCTTGTCGTTCATTATCACGTGACAGCGACTAGTCGCTGAAAGGTATAAAAAGTCATTACAGTGCAGTGAAGTTGACTAGCTGATACAACCCCTACTGTCCTCTCAGCTGTTGTGTCTCCATGCAAATTCAGCCCTTTCAGGACTTGTGCGGAGCCAGCACATTGCGACTGCTTTGGCAGTGAGTGACGTCACTGGTCAGAGCCAAACAGCGTTCACACTAAAATATTAACATTAAAAGCATTTATTCCATCAAAGTGTACCACAATTTAATCCCTTCAGAGGACGAGAGCAGCTGTGTGATGTAGTATGTGGCATTCAATGACCCGAAGAAGCTACGACTAAAACCTTTTTGAGTTTTATACGGCTTAAACTGACTCAGACTAAAACACATTTTCATCATAAAGACTCACCTGCTGTGAACTATAATATCTGTTTAAAAAGCAAACGGTTATATTTGTCTAACTCACTGAACCAAGTTGGCAAGTGTCCAAAAAAATGTCGCTCTGCATGTTTTTAGATGTTATAGAACATTTTTTAGGACACCACTGAAGGTCTCGGGTGTTATAGAAGTGATAACTGTTATAAGTTTGAGACTTCACATTTAAATAACTGCATAAAATCACCATTTGAGGTTTTATGTAACTGAAGATCCTGAGATGCTCAAGGTCTCCGTAACAAATTCTGAAGTTGTTTGGGTTTTTATTTTTTCACTAAAGTTTTAGCGGTAATGTGTTTGTAAAATCTTGTCCACACTGACCTGTCTGGCCATCTTGCTGTCAGAGGCAACGTCCAGCATGCCTGCTGCTGCCCCCTGCTGTCGGGGAGGACTCCTAACGTGTTGTTTTCACCTCTGACCCAGAGCGTACTTCAGCTGCTTTAGAGAAGCAACCTGTGAAAAAAATAACAAAAACACAAATACATAAATATTTTAGCTCATAGGAGCCATCTCTTCACAATGCCAAGTCAACAGTAGCTGACTTTGTCCTCAGAGCCAAATAAACATTATCTAGTAATCATGTTGTCTTATTTCTTTGTTAAGGGTGTGTGTTTGGCCCGTTAAAGGTAGCTGAGATGTCTGCTGCAAGGAAACATTTCATAACAGAACAATGTCCAAACAATGCTCTGGTTCAGGACTTTTCAGCAAGTTTTGTTGGCACGAGATGAAACCAACTAAATAAGAGATTATCTGAACTATCAATAAATCCCATCAGAACCAAGGAAGTGAGATAGCTTCACTTTAAGCTAACTCTAGAAGAAGAGTTGTGAGTTTATTAAACAATTTGTGTAAAACATGTCAAAAGTAAAAGAAGCAACTCCCTGTTTGGTAACAAGCATCACCAGAAAATGACATCCCAGTTTGTTGATATCTATGGAAGTGTATTGTTATGATTGAGAGGAATAAAGGGTAGCGTGATGAATTGTCCATCTTTGACCTAAAGGCCCTGCTCTATTTGCTCTGCCCAAGCAGAAACACAAGTTTCTGGCACAAGCCTAATCTACAAGATATGGGCCAAGGCCACTCATGCTCGGTGCTCTTATCTAAACTGTTGCTTCCTCGGACAGCACAAGAAAGAAGAAAGAAGACGAATAACTCTTTCTCTTTAAATAATAATCAAATAACTTTGTTAGTCCAAATAATCATGTGAAGCTCAATGTTCAATCAGTCTGTGAAATAATATTAATTACTTGATATTATAATCCTATGATAGTATATAATAAGTAATATAACCTTAAATATTTACACTAGACTGATCACACGTAATGTTAAAATCACATGACACATTCCTTTTTCTGATCCAATCAGAACCTTCCAGATCTGACGCGAGGCGTGGTTTTGTTGGTGTTTATTTTGTTGTCAAATTCTGATTCGATCATAAATCAAAACATCTGAATTATAAAACTAATTCCCACGTCACCCTTAACTCAGTTCCAAGCATTCTAGAGAAGTTATCGGAGTGGCCAATCCGTAACTTTCCTCTTAAAGCCGAAAGAACCTAACGACACGCTGGATTAAATCTGTTGCATGTTCCACCTGGTGCAACGGTTCCTTCAGAATAAAAGCTGAACCATCACAACCCTTGAGGGTCTTGCTGATGCCAATAAACTGTCGTGACCTGGGAGTAACTCAAGACTGGAAGGGTCAGCAACCATTGCATATCTATAGGCGTCGGTTCCAAGAGGGTCCAAGCTGGACCCCCGACATTCCGGATCTAAATGGGGACTTCCGTTGGGGTACGTAGACCGACAGATGGCGTCTCAATGTGTGTTATAATCTCCAACCTTAAAGCTTAGAGCGAAACACCATCTCACTCCCATCAGAACTAATCGTTTCTCCAGATTTGCTGGTTCTGAACATGTTTCACACACACATCCTCCTCAGTCTTACTCCACCTTAGTTCATCATCACATAGTGTTTAAAGTTAGTCTTGTTCAAATTGTTTAGAAATAAATCTTTTAGCTTTTTAAACCTGACTCGCTCTTTGTCTTGGAGTTAATATGAAGTGTTGCTCAATCCCTGCAATAAAAAGATCCGATCTTCTGGTTAAATTTATTCAAAGATCCATTAAGGTGATATTTCATATTTTATGATATTTCACATTCTATGGTTTCTAATTAAATGTAAGAACATCTTCTCTACAAAAGGATCAATAGTTCGAAATAAGTGTTTCTCATTATTACGTGATAGAAATTTGGTTTTAAAAAGAAACCTTCCCTGAAAATGGTGCATAAATCAACAAATTACTGTCACTAGCTCTCTTCTCTGCTGGCTCTGCCGCACACACCTGGTTGCTAAGGCAACAGACTGACAGGTTTTCATGCTGTTTAAGTGTAATAACACGTAATGTCCAGCAATGGTCAGTTTAGGTACTGTTTGACCTTTCAACATCTATTCAACATCTGGTCAGAAAGGAGACACAACATTGCACGTGGTCCCTTTAAACAGCCTGCCTTCCTCACCAGCTGGAGTCGGAGCTTGCAGTTCTGACAGAAATAATGAAAAGATAAACAATAACATTCTCTCCCACCAAGGTTCCTCACACAGCAACTCTTTTATCTAAGCTCCTTGCCTCACAGAAGAAGAAGAAAAGAAGATTTTTTAAATTAAATATGAACTTCTGAAATTTACAAACTAGATAATCATTAAATAAGCATTTGTTATTGCTACTTATAATAATTATAAAACAATGAAATGTTTTCATTAATCTATGCTTAAGGATATATGTTAGCATGTTTACTTGACAAGGTCATCATCATTTGCACTCACACAAGGACAAAGTAAGGTAAAAGTTAAACGCATGACATACGGTTAACCTTTCGCCCAGTTCAGAGCCTCCTAATCAAAGAGGGTGTGTCTCTGAGATTCTTGGTAATATCCCTCAAACTTGTCAACTTTTGGTTGGCTGTTTATTCATAACATCAATATATTAAAACTAGATTACTCAGGTTTCCCATCAGTTTGTTCAGCTCACCAGCTTGAGAGTTCTAGAGGAAAGCTTTAGACCGGCCATCTTTAGCAGAACCTCTTTAACCAGCAAAAATTTTGACACGTCGTCAAAACCTTTTAAACCTTTTTCGCACCTGAGAAGCTGATAACAACAAGATAGTTCCTGCAGAACAAATCTGATGCAAAACTCCTTCAGAGTTAATTTTAAGACGCTCGGTTTCATCCATCTGTCGTGACCCGAGACATCTCCGGACTGAAAGAATCGGTACCTCGGTACTCTACAGCCTCCCGTGCTAGCGGTCATCCGACCTCTCTCACTTTCGGATCCATCAAGAGGGTCTCTGAATCCAGGTAATGTAGGCACACAGATAGCATCTGAATGTGGTTTTAATAATAACAACTTTATAGCTTAACGTAAACCAAATTCTTTATAACCAAAACTCAGCTCTCTGAGACACGGAAATTCTGACTCCATTGTATTTACACATAGGTTCTACATCACCTTTAGTTCCATCCATCACAGTAAATGTTTAGTTACTCTGTCAAGTTTTAATTGTTTGTAAAATAAATTCTTACTTTTATAAACCTGACTGTTTCTTGAATCAAAATGAAGTGTGTACAATCCCCTAAAGAATAAAATAATCCTAGAATCCTCTGATTAATCATTAAAGACCAAGCAGGTTGATATTCTATATTTAAATGAAGTATCCCAACTTATGGGTCACAAGTGGTGTTAATAATATATTAAGCTCTTAAAGCAATTTACCTAACCCAACATACTATTTATTAACTTTACATAAACAACACAAAAAATATGTCTACTGTAATATCCGAACATACTTTTTATGGATATAATGTCATTCATGATGGAGGGGGCATGGGAGTTTGCCCAACCAATCCACATGTGTTTTGTGGATTTGGAGAAGGCTTATGACCGTGTCCCCAGGGGCACCCTGTGGGGGAAGCTCCAGGAGTATGGGGTGGGTGGCCTTTTGTTAAGGGCCATTCAGTTCCTTTACCAGAGGAGCGTGAGTTTGGTCCGCATAGCCGGTAGTAGGTCGGACCTGTTCCCGGGGAGGGTTGGACTCCGCCAGGGCTGCCCTCTGTCACCGGTTCTGTTCATTACCTTTATGGACAGAATTTCTAGGCGCAGCCGTGGTGTGGAGTGTGTCGAGTTTGGTGGCAGGAGAATCTCGTCTCTGCTTTTTGCGGATGATGTGGTCCTCCTAGCTTCATCCAGCTCTGACCTTCAGCTCTTGCTGGGTAGGTTCGCGGCCGAGTGTGAAGCGGCTGGGATGAGGATCAGCACCTCGAAATATGAGACCATGGTTCTCAACCAGAAAAGGGTGGCTTGCCAACTCCGGGTCGGGAGAGAGGTCCTACCTCAAGTGGAGGAGTTTAAGTATCTCGGGGTCTTGTTCACGAGTGAGGGTAGTAGGGATCGGGAGATCGACAGGCGGATTGGGTCGGCGTCTGCAGTGATGCGGGCGCTGAGCCGATCTGTCGTGGTGAAGAGGGCGCTGAGCCAGAAAGCCAGGCTCTCGATTTACCGGTCGATCTACGTCCCAATCCTCACCTATGGTCATGAGCTTTGGGTAATGACCGAAAGAACGAGATCGCGGATACAAGCGGCCGAAATGAGTTTCCTCCTTAGGGTGGCCGGGCTCAGCATTAGAGATAGGGTGAGGAGCTCGGACATTCGGGAGGGACTCGGAGTAGAACCGCTGCTCCTCCGGATCGAAAGGAGCCAGTTGAGGTGGTTTGGGCCTCTGGTCAGGATGCCTCCTAGACGCCTCCCCGGGGAGGTGTTTTGGGCATGTCCTGCCGGCAGGAGGCCTCCGGGTCGACCCAGGACACGTTGGAGAGGTTACATCTCCAATCTGGTCCGGGAGCGCCTTGGGATCCTGCCGGAGGAGCTGGTGGAGAAGGCCGGGGAGAGGACGGTCTGGAGCTCCCTAGTTGGGATGCTGCCCCCGCGACCCGGACACGGATAAGCGGAGGAAGACAAAGACAAAGTAAAAAGGTTTCAATTTTTTTTTTATGTGAAAAAGCACAAACAGGAAGTCAACTTTTACTCTGAAAGCTGCAGCTTCACTAGAATAGAAAAAGCATCGCAAATTAGCAAGGACAAGAATTCAACGCGAGGGCTGTTTTCTCTGTTTTCCAAGGTGGAGGATGGTTTGAAGTGTGGAGGAATATGTATGTTTACTATATATCATTACTGCTTCTCAAAAAGGCCCAAACACTCCCTCTAACTCCATCGTCTCCCTTCGTTTCCTCTGGACGAGATTCAAACATCTCGCAAGATGTCAGCTCAATACTAAACACATTTCAACACAAACAAATTTCTAGTTATCACAAGAAACGTCACCTACGCGTTTCCCCTGCAGCAGCAGCAACATGCTTCCGTAGATATTAAAGACATTTTGAATATTTTTCTTTTG